CACTAAGGGCGTGCAACAGAGCAGCAAGGGGAGCAAAGCAATGGAATCCCCGGGGAGTACCAAAAATAGACTCTGGGGGCAGAGTGTGGCACCCCATCAGACTCGACTGGAAAACACTCCTTAAGGTCAAAAAGCAGACCTGGAACTATTTACAGGCTTTTCCTTTTTTGTCATTGACTTTCTTTTTGTTGTTGTTGTTGTTGCTGCTGTTTTGTTGGTCTGTTTGGATTTGCCTGTTGGGATTTTTGTGCTTATTAAACAATGCAGAGATGAAAGCAATGGAACCGACGGTTCTGGGGTCACACGGGAGAAAGGAAGGGAGGAGGGGCAACCAACCCAGGGACAAGGGAACAACAAGTGAACTAAAATCAATGGAGAGAAGGGCGTAGCATGCCTAGTGTGGCTTAATCAAGGGCAATGTAACAGCAAGGAATTATTAAACCCGAATGAAGACCGAACATGATGGTGGGACAAGAGGAAAGAACCAAGAGGCAAAGGACATTTATAGAGGTCTAGATACAGGCATGTACATATGTAAATATATTTTTATATAACAATAGGGAAATAGATCTATGTACTTAAATCTATATGTTAAGAATTAAGGTTGCAGATGGACATTGGGTCTCCACTCAAGTACTCCCTCAACACAAGAACGCTTTGTTCTAATAATCTGGAATTCTGTGATGCTTACCTCCCCAACATAATCGCTGAAGACAAAGTGGGTGCATAAGCAGATGTGGTGAAGAAAGATGATGGTGCCCAGCTATCAAAAGATACAGCATCTGGGGTTTTAAAGGCTTGAAGATCAACAAGTGGCCATCGAGCTGAGAAGCAACAAAACCCACGTGGAAGAAGCACACCCGCCTGTGTGATGATGAAGTGTCAATGGGATAAAATATTGGGCATCTAAGACCGAGAACAAAATCATACACAATGTGAATGGGGGGGGTTATGAGGAGTGGAGACCCAATGCCCATCTGTAGACAATTGGACATCCCCTCACAGAAAGGTCATAAGGAAGAGATGAGCTAGTCGGGTGCAGTATAGCACCGATGAAACACACAACTTTCCGCTAGTTCTTTAATATTTCCTCTCCCTCCCCCTCTCCCTCACTATCATGACCTCAATTCTACCGGAACATGCACACTGCTACAGATTAGAGCCCACAACACAGGGAATCCAGGATAGAGGAGCCCCTCAGGGCCAACAATGAGACTAGACATACCAGGAAGATAAGGGGAAGGTGGGGAGAGAAGGGGAATTGATCACAAGGATCAATATATAACCCCCTCCCGGGGGGAACGAATAACAGAAAAGTGGGTGAAGGGTGACAGAGGATGATGTAAGATATAACTCATCAAAGGTTCATGGGGGAGGGAGGGGGGCGGGGAAGGAAGGGAGAAAAAATGAGGAGCTGATACCAAGAGCTCAAGTAGAAAGAAAATGCTTTGATAATGATGGCAGTATATGTACAAATGTGCTTGACACAATGGATGAATGTATGGATTGTATTAAGAGATGTATGAGCCCCCAATAAAAGTAGTTGATTTAAAAAATTAACCTAGAAAGATACTATTATAGTAAAACTTAGCATGTTTCATTATTTTTATAGTATTCAATACTGTGGACTATATAACTAAATGTACATGTGTAAATCTATCTCAATCACATAAAAAAAGAATGGGCCGACTGTAACAATGGCAAGGACGGCCCCAGCCCGGGCAGGGTTTCCTCCTCTTGCTACGAATGGTCCTGACCCCACGGCGCCTGACGTCACCGCACCATTCGCACCACACACGAGTAAAATGATGCTGAAGGTCGTTGAAAACGGATGGTGGCTGTACAGGGGCCGGCTAGGAATTCCAGTTGGATTCAGATCTGCCAAACTGATCCTGGTGGAAGCAGAGACCACCAGAAGGATGCTCATCTGGGTTTCAGGGGTAAGCCAGGGCACCACACTGTGCGGATCCTCACAACGACACCAGCAGTGGTAAGGAGCGTCTGCCTTGGGCGCTGAGCCCCTCTGAAGGACCACCTCTATGAGGGTAGAGGGGACGCTGGTGGGCACGCCAGCCTCGTTTGTCCGTCCGCAGGGAAGGAAGGACTGAACAAGAGAGAGGGGAGGGTGGTGGAGCAACTCGAGGCAGGCCATCAGTGACACTGAGGTGGCTGAATCGGTGTAGGTCCCTGTTCTAAACGTTCGCAACAAAAAACGACATCAGTGACGACAGAGAAAACACACATGGGATGGCGCGCCCACGAGGCCCCAGGCTCGTGGCCCATCTGTGCTCAGTGCTGGCACCAAAGACTGAACACAAGTTTCTTTTCCTGTGTTGTCAACCTAACAATAGACGAATCTGCAAGGTGAAGAACAACACAGGAAGGGAACCCGTCTCAGAGCCGCCACCATCCTCCACCCAAAGGGGTGCATTTGCTCAGGGACAAAGCTCAGAAGGGAGCAAGGGACAGGGAAGGAGGACAAAGGAAGACGGGCAGCGCAGGGAGGAAGTAGGAGGAGAGCCGTTACCGTGTGAGGGTGGCGATCGAGGCGGGGAAACAAAATGTGCACCAACTGTTGAGCGGGAAATGAATTTGTTCTGTACACTTTCACCCAAACCACAATAAAAAGCTTGAAAGAGAAAAAAAAAAAGACGCCAGGGGACAGAGAGAGCCCAGATCTCCTGTTGTTTTCTGGGTAATGAGAGAAAAAGAATAAAGATGTAACCTTACAAGGGTTTACTAGTCAGTCCCACGGGGGTGGAGTAGGGTGGGAGTCAAACGCGCAAAGTTTAAGGAAGGATGGAGGGGGGCTGTCTTTGCGGTCAGACGTCTGCCCGAGGAGGCAGCTCGGAGCTGAGGCCTTCCTGGACTGAGGGAGACGGCCACACAGAGGCTTGCATGGTGCCGAGAGCACTGGGCAGGGGGAATAGTTTGTGTAAGGGCCGTGAAGGAAGACTCAGCGAATTTGAAACGGTCAAGGAAAGAGAAACCGTTTTTATCAGTGTTGATAGACACCTAGCCTGATGGATCAAGGAAAAAAAAAAGGGTGCAAAACCACAAATGACCAATTTCAGGACTATAAAAGGATGAGAGGAGGCATCAGCACAGACCATGCAGTCAACGGATCGTGGCAGAATTATAAACAACTTCGTGCTAATGTGTTTGGCAACGTAGAAGCCTCGGAAAGATTGAAAGACAGAAATGACCAAAACTCACTCAAGAAGAAATAGTCGTAATATCCCTAAGCCTATTATAGAAGTAGAATAAACATATCGACTAAAGAAATTGGATTCACAACGTAAAACTCTCCCATTTCAAGTGATTGCATGGATCGCTCTAGCAAACATTTTGGAGGGAAGAAATGATATATTCAAGTGAAGAGCAAAAATTCCATGGATGGGTGGAAGAAAGAGTAAGCACTGATGTCAACTAGGCCACGGTGGACCAGAGTTTAAGGTTTGTGCCAGGCCATACCGGATTTCAAACCAAACCAAACTCACGGCCATCAAGTTGATTCTGACGCATAGCAACCCTCTAGGACAGGGTCGAACTGGCCCTATGGGTTTCTGAGGCGGTAACTCTCGACGGGAGAAGAAAGCCTCATCTTTCTCTCAAGGAGAGGCTGGTGGCTTTGAACTGCTGACCTTGCAATTAGCGGCCCAACTCGTAACCACGACACCATCAGGACTTCTCCTTTGCCCGGGGGTAGACAGATGCAATGCTGACAACCTTGGGGGGTGGGGGGGACTGACCCCTCTCTCTAGCCTCCATCTGAAGCCCTCGCCCTCCTAGCTCCAGGAGACCCAGAAAGACTCTCCAAGCTGGAGGTCTTAGGGTGAGGTTGGTCATGAGCAGGCGAAGGGGGTGGGTTAAGTGGAGATCTGTGGGCAACGGGACTTCGGGCTTTCGCAGTGCAGAACCTTGGGGTCTTCCAAGCTGAACTGGTATCAACCTCCAAACAGCCCCATGTCCCTCCCACTCCTTCGCTCTGCTTTCTTTTCCAGATGCCTGACTCTTCCAGATGCCTGAAATGATTTCATTTGCTTATTTCCTCACGGCTTAATGTCTGTCCCCTTGGTATTTGAAGACGGGACCCACGGAGGTAGAGATCGTTCCCTTCGAACTCACTGCGGGGTCCCTGATCTCTCACAGAAGGGTTATTGTTATTGCTGTGTGACTTGGCAATGCCTGTGGGGCTTCTTACGCTCTCATCTTTAAGGCAACAGGTCATCAGGGGTGTGCCCCACACAGCGGCTGGGGGGTTCGAACTGCTGAGCCAAACCATTGCACCACCCGGGGCAGGGGGTTCCTTCTTATACAGCTCCTAACCCCAAATCCACTGCCCATCCAGTCAATGCTGACTCACAATCACCCTGCCAGTCACGAGAGACCTGCCTCAGCGGCCTTGCAAGGGCTGCCAATCTTCACAGAAGCCGGGAGCCTGGGTTTTTGCCCTTGAGGTGCCCAGGGGGCTTGAACCAGTGTCCAGGAACAGTGCCCAACCCCACACCCGCTGCCATTGGGTTGATGCCGCCTCCCTGCGGGGACAGAGTTGGAGAGGCCCTGATTTCAGGCGCAATTCATGGGGGTGCAACCGCCCTAGAGAGTTTCCCAGGCTGCCCCGTGGAGCCAGAATCTCCCATTCTGATTTGGCAGCTCAATACCTAACCGCTGTGCCACCAGGAGCCCAGGACCGAAGGAGAGCCGGAAGCCAGCCCAGCCAGGCCCATGTGTCTCCTTGGTCCGGGCGGGAGGCACGCCTGCCTGGCCTCTGTCTTCCTCACCCGTGACAGAGAAGCAGGCAGGGCGGGCTGGGCCTGCCTGGCAGGGGCTGGGCAGGGCCATCTCTGCCCTGCGTGTGGAGTGGACGGGCCCTGGTTGAGGTCTCGCCTTGATAGGAAAAGCGAGGTCTCTCGGGGCCCACTGACCCCTGTGGGTGGCCCATGCCCCCTGCACGTGGCCCTCTGAAGGCAGAGGGTTCCCCGGAGCCCCTGACTCACCCAGCAGCAGCAGCTTTAGCTCCCCCCGGTCTCGCCTCTTCTGGTCCAGAAGGATCTTATTGATCTCCTGGTCGATGCGGGCTGCGGTCTTCTCGTCCTCGGTCAGGCACCATGGGCAGCAGTGCCAACTCAGCGCCCGGGCCATGGTCGGGCCTCAGAGGGCGCCAGGCGGCATGGCCCCCAGGGCCCCCACGGGGGAAGGCTACCCCACACTGGCTGGCTTCAGGGAGGCCTCCAGGCAGCCCGGCACCTAGGGGCTGGCTCCTTCTCGGGGGTCACCCCCCCAGAGCCTCCAGCTTCCCTGCCTTAGGTGTCTGTCCAGGGATCCCGACTCAGCAAGGCCCGGGTGCTGGGAACAGGGCGGGGGCCGGGGGAGGAATGAGAGAGGTGGGGAGACGCAGGGCTCCCCGCCCATTGACAGACCTGCCTGGACCCAGCCAGACAGGTTGCCGGGCTAAAGGCACCCCAAGAAGTGAGATGGGTGGCCCCAGGGAGGGCGGCGGTGAGAAAAAAATCCCCAGCCACAGTCTGGGTTCCGGCGGCAGAGCTGGGCAGGCCAGGGGTGGGGGTGCGGGGCGGGTGTCAAAGCCGCTCCTTCCTTATTCCGGGGCAAGGCTGGACTCTCAGATGACGCCGCCCCCACCTGCTGTCCAATCCCACCTCCCTCTCGGCCTCCTCTGGGCCAGTTGGGGACAAGCCCCAGGTCCCTTGCGCGGTGCCGGGCTATTAACCAGCCCCAAGGTTGGTGGTTCAACCCCACCCAGAGAGACCCTGGCGATTTGTTTCTGCAAGGACCAGCCTGGCCACCCTGCAGAAGAGTGGGGCCGGACTAGAGGCCACGGGGGTAATGGTGACTGTGGCGGCCATCTGCGTAACGGCAAAACCCACGACAACCGGCACTGTGGTGGGCAGCACCACCGCGACCCCCTGGCAGCGCCTGCGCTCCCAGCACCGTCTCCAGGGACACTCCGGCCCTGTCCGCGTGGTGTTCGTGCGCAGGTGCTGAGTCGCCAGGCCTTTCTTCCTGGCGACGCCTGGAGGCGTCACCGACACTTGTCCACCTGGGTGACCCCGCTGGTGTTTAAAATCCCAGTATCCGAACAGCCCTGCAGCCACCTCGGTGGGTGACAGGGGGTGGCCTCACACCGTTGTAGGGGGGCCATCAGGTGGCCAGTTGACTCGCAGTGGCTCTGCCCCCATCAGGCCCTCGGGGTGTTCCCCTTCCAAACCACTGGGTGGTCCAGCCACCAGCCCTGCCAGGGGTGCCCCTTCTTCTCTGCTTCCTATGGTGACCTACCCCCGCTTTGCAGGTGGGGGAAACTGAGGCACAGGGCGAGGAAGGAGCTGGGACCACCCGCTATGAAATGGAGCTGAGGTCTGGCCCTCAACCATTGGGGTCCAGAGTGTATATTCTAAGGGGGCAGCTTTGGGGTGTCTTGGCACCCAACTGCACCAGCGGGGCTCAGAAAGGGTGAGCGGGCCATCCTGGGCCACGCAGCAGCCCTACAGCCCAAGGCCGGGTTGTGCCGTGGCGGCGGCCGTTGACAGGCCCGAGCCAGCTCAACACGTAAGCGCAAGTGCGGTTTACTCTGGTGTGGATTCATGAACGAACACGGCAGATGGGATGCAAGATAAGGGTAACCCCACCCCTGCCTCCTGCGGGTTTGTCTGGGCCAGCAGACCCTGCCCCCCAGCCTGGCTCCCCAAGGCTGGGGCCAGGGACTTCCTGCTCTAAGGCAGGTGAAGAAAAGCAGAAATGAGCTGGGGCATCTCGGCTGTGGAACAGAAGCGGCTGGCTTGGCCCCACAGGGGCTAGAGGCAAGGGGAAACAGAGGCTGGGGGCAGCTCAGGGCATTGTGGAGCCCCAGTGGGGAGCCAAATGAAGTCCAGAGAGCCCGCGGTCACAGAGGCCCACCCTCCTGACCCATCCTGGCAGTCCACTGACAGATGGCATGCCAGACCCCCAGCCAAGTCAGAGCAGGAGGACATGGCCACTGACAAGTGCCCCCTCTTCGCACCTCCCAGGGCTCCATCCGGTCCAGGAAAGGGGCGACTCCTCACTGAGTCCCTGGCCCACCAGGACCCCCGTGGTCCGGCCTCTTCGCGGGTCTTCAGGTTCAAAGCAAGGCTCTCCTCTGAATCACAAACCGGGAAGAGCTGCTGCCTCCCTGCCCAGAGAGGCAGCTCCCCTTAGTGGGAGAGAGGTGAGTGTGCGACTGTGAAATCAATCAAACTCACAGGAAATGATTAAAGCCCCAGCCCCAGGGCCTTCGGTGACCACGCCGTGGGACAGGAGGGGAGTGCTCCAGAGGGCTTCTGGGCTGCGGTCTCGGACCATTCTTCTAGGTGGGTTTATGTCACCGTCCTCTTTTGGTCAGCAGTCAAGCCAAACCCAACCAAACCCACCGCCGCCAAATCCATTCTAGCTCACAGTGACTGGTGAGGACGGAGTCGACTGCCCCGTGGGGTTTCTAGAAATCCTGAGGAGAGCAGACGGCCTCGTTTTTCTCCTGGTGGGTTTGAACTACTGACCTTGTGGTCAGCAGGACAAAAGGTAACCCACCATGCCATCAGGGCTCAAGGGCAAACCATTGATGCCAACCAGGGACCTCTTAAAACAAAACAACAACAAAGAAACTCCCCGCGACACAGTCAATTCGGACTCGTGGCAACCGGAAGGACCGTGTCCCTTTCCAAGATTGTCACTCTTCACAGGAGTAGAACTCATCTTCCCCCCTTGGAGCAGCTGCTGGTTTCAAACCGCTGACCTTGCCGTTAGCAGCCCCATGGGCCAGCCACCAATCCCCCTGGGCTCAGACTCCACACTCACTGTCATGGAGTTGGTTCTGACCCACAGTGACCCTATAGGACAAGGTAGAACTGCCCCTGTGGGTTTCTAAGGCTGTCACTCTTTACGGGAGTAGAAAGCCTCATCTTTCTCCCTCGGAGCAACTGGTGGCTTTGAACTGCTGGCCACGTTCAGCCAGACCCATTACCCACCATACCACCAAGGTTCCCTAGAGCCTAACAAATGGTTGTTCACCGCACACTTACTGAACGCCCACGCATGCCCTGCCAAGGAACATTATCAGTGGAAACGATCCAAATTACAACAGTCCATCAACCGAGGAAGTGGAAAATTGAAAACGTGGCTCGTTCCTGTCATGGATTGTTGGTGCCGGGGACCATCACGTCAATTCCAACTCGTAGGACCCTATGCACCTCGGAACAGACCACCACCCGGTCCTGTGCCGGCCTCAGTTGTGCTGCCTGAGCCCACCGCCACAGCCACGGTGTCTGTCCACCTTCCTCTCTCGCTGCCCCTCTCCTTGACCAAGTCTGATGTCCTGCCCCAGGGACTGGTCTTTCCTGACGACGTGTCCAAGCTGCCTGACCCCAAGCCTTGCCGTCTTTGCTTCTAAGGAGCATTCTGGCTGTACGACTTCCGAGACGGATTCGTCCGTCCTCCTGGAAGCTCGCGGTATATTTAATATTCTTCTCTGATGCCCATCACTTGATTGGCATGAAGTCCTTCCCTGTACTTGACCGTCTGTCTGCCGAGCAGATCATCGGAGAAGCTGAATTCTCTGAACGGGAACTCAGCCTCAGGGTTGGAGAAAGAGCTAAACTCCGAGAAAATACTTTTTCTGTCCGTTCTAGACGTGCACACGCTGGTCGCTCAGCCACGGTTAGCACTCGGAGACGTCGGACGATGGCGGCAGTACGCGCCACCAGCACCACCAGGTGAACGCTCGCTCGGATTCTCTTTCAGTATTCCTTTGTCCCCGCCAGCTTCCACGCAGACCCGAGGCAACTGAAAATACCGTGGCTAAGAAGGCCATCGGGAGCAGACATGGCCACCATCATGGGGGCGTGGGGGGCGTTGGACTGGGCGGTGCACGGCTCCGCTGGACATCGGGTCACTGTGAGCTGGAGCTGATGGGATAGTGCCTGACAGCAGTGAGACTGGGGGAACCCCTGAGACAATGGCCCTCGTGTACGCTTCCTTCCTGGAATGGAACCCCAGCCCCCGAATCCTTCGGCCGAACGATGACAGACAGGGCTAGAATATGGGCAAGAACAAATAGTGAGGAACATGCTCCCCAGAACCGTGACTCCCCACTCCCACCCCCCCACCCCACCCCCTCACCCCCCATGAAGCTCAAAAAGGGCAGCATTTGCCCCCAGAACAAAGCTCAGAGGGCAGGAAGGGGCAGGAAGGAGGGGCAGGCGGGAGCCGGGAACCCTGGGAGGCTGTGGGTAGCGTGCTGTCACCTAGAGGGGACTGTAAACAACATGACATAAACTGTGGACACCCTATTGGGTAGGAAAATGTGCTCTGTGAACTTTCACCCAAATCATGATAAAACGTTAAATAAATAAATGCCACAGCCTGTGTGGGGCACCCGAGTGTCCCCGCTAAGGCACACCCCACCGACCAATGCTTCCAGACTCCCCGGAAGCCAGCCAGCCAGGCTCCGCGGCTTGGATGCCGTGAGTCACCCCTTTGCTATGGCTTCCCCGGGCCCTCTGCACGCTCCCATCCTGTCTCACGGGGGTTCAGCTGCCTTCCCAACGAGACCAGGCATCCCCACAGAGAGGGACAGCTCTGCGCAGGCCCTGGGTCCCACCGGGCCTTGGGAACTGGATCCTTGCTCTCGGGGGCACGGACAAGGAGGGGTCCTAGGCGGGGCGTCCAAGGCCTGGGTCTGAGGTCTGACTCAGCCTGCTGCTCGGTAGGTAAACAGCTCGCTGGGCAAGTCCCAACCTCTCAGTGCCTCTGCTTTCGAAGGAGTGTTCCGGAAATCAGAAGCACCTCCCCAGGGCTACCCGTGAAGATGGAGAGAGAATTCTCGCATCGGTTTGCGTGCGGGAGCCTGGGGTGGGTGGCTGCCAGCGCTGGCTGTGTGGGCCTAGTTCCAACTTCTGCTGTCACCGCCGTAGAATTCTGCACCCAGTTGGAACATGAGCTCCCAGCCCCGCTTTGATTTTGCATCAAACTCAGTGCCGTCGAATTGATTCTGATCCAAAGTGACCTCCTGTATTTTGTATCGGGCCTTGTAAATTCTGCAGGCGGCATTAGTGGCATACCTGAGCCTGCCGGGCAAGGCAGGACTGATAGCAAGGCCTGGGAAGAGCCGACTGGAAAACCGGAGGTCTGAGCCACACAGAAATGCCTTGGAGGAAAGGCTTGGTGATCTGCTTCCAACATCCCAGCCTTTGAAAACCATATGGGCAACTTTGAAGTCGATGGTCAGGCTGGAAACAAGGGGAGACGGGCAAGGATGGGAAAATCAATGGGGGGGTGTGTGTGCGGGGGCAGATAGGGCCACCTTGGGGGTTGCTTTCTGGGATACTGCCAGTGTTCTGATGCAATGAGCTAGAAAACCACCTGGACAGAGGGCTACAGGGGAATCCTGATCAAAAGAGGGGACATGTGGAACAGAATTTCAATTCCTGGGACTCCGGACTTTCTAGAGCTTTAGAAGGTGGATAAACACACACACACACACACACACACAGATTGTTCTAAGATTATCTTTAAACCTTCCACCAAAAACAGCCCAGGTCTGTTCATCCTTCCTTATATCCAGACAACAGTCTAACTTAACTAAGGAGGCATGTCTGCCTCGGCATTGCACTCCTTGAAGAGTTCTATCTAGATGGGGATAAACCAGCAACCCCAGAAGTCAGAGCGGAAACGTAGGGGCGGCGAGTTCATGTTCCGGGGGAAGGCACCGTTTGGAAAAGAAGGTGAGAATGGTTGCAAGCCTTGAGGAATGTCCCCCGAGTCACAGAATTGAAGCATGGAGCTATGGAATTAATTGGTCTATGATTGGCTGTGTATTTTCACAGCCACAACAGCAAAATATACTTAAAGCAAAAAGAAAAAGGAAACCGGACAGAGCACAGCCCGACTCTGGCACACACCTGGCCGCTGTGAGCCAGGCTGGAGTGGACTTCTGGTCCACAATTTCCCTTTCAGAAAACCAACCACCTCTATTCCTTCAGCAGTGCGTGGGAAGCCGAGGCTCTCTGCTGCCTCTGGTGACACTCGCTGGACGGATGCAGAATGGCACCCACAGGACTGGTCTACCCTCCCAAGGGCAGTTGCGACCTGGGGCACCCTCCCCAGCACCCCTGGATCCTGAATCCGACTTCTTCGGCTTCTGCCTTGGCCCAGACCTACCATGGCCTGCCTGGTCCAGTGCAGTCCCTCAGCCCTGGTACCCAGCTTGGTCCACACCCTCCCACCTGTTCTCAACCTTGGTGGCCAGAGGGCGCCCGTGAGCACCCGAGTCAGGCCAGTCCCTCTGCCCACAGCCCGTCAGGGCTCCCACCTTCCTCAAGGCTGGGGCCCTTCCCTGGGGCTACCTGGCCTTTCCAGAATGGTCCATGGAAAACCACCATCGGCCCCCATCCTGCTCCCAGCCCTTGTGTTCACACATAAAATGACCTGGGAGCAAGAGGCTGCCCCTGGCCAGCAAGCTGGATCCCGCGCCCTCTGGGTCAATCCTGTGCGCGAACCAGTCAGTCAAACTCAAGAAGAGCAGGAGAGATCAGTGGTCGTCAGCCCTAGATTTACTAGAGGATTGGGGGGTGCCCTTCGCCAGAGCATCGGGAACAGAGGGGCTGTCAGTGTTCCCTACCCCCCAAAGGGCACAATGCCAGGGAACACCTCGAGGGCCTCAGGACACTTGCCCAGAGCCAGGCCCCCCACCTGTCCCCAGGAGCCACCGATCAGCGACAAGAAACAAGGCCATCGCATTTAGGAACAAAATTTATTCCAATTTAAAACAGAGTTCATTTCAGGAGAAAGATATATGAAAAGTCCCTTTCCATCAGGGTTTCTGGACTTGGGAGGTCAGGGCCCCAACACCGTGAGCAAAATCTGTCGCCCCACCCGCTGGGAACATGGGCGGCCGCCACCCAGGCTCCTCCCTCCCGCCCCCCACCCCCACCCCACACAATACATGCACTTGAAATGACAAAAGGCTTAAAAACGGCGCTTCATAGAATCTTCTCTTAAATAGGTTAAGGTCCGGGTTGTCTTCGGCCGGCGCTGTGTAGTGTACAAGTGTGGAGGGCAGGGGGCGCGACTGGGTGTGTGTCTGGGGTGGGGGGTGTCCGCCCCATTGGCACTTTTGAGTCTAGAGCTCACCGCAGGAAGAGGGAGAGGGGGCATTGGCACAATGACACTTGGGGGCAGGGCCATGGGTGGAGGCCAGGGCGCCAGGCTCCCCTTCTGTTGGCAGCTGCGCCTGGTTTGGGACGGTAGGAGGTGGCGTGGGACACGACGGCTAGGGAAATAAATTGGTCACAAGTACAGTAAAAACTCAGGCGGCGGGTGGAGTCCCGGGGCCTCGCTGGCCACTGCTGGAAGCCGCAGTCCCAAGCCCCTTGCCACCCCCTCCCCAACCCACCCCCATCATTGGCGTGGAAACTTCTATTTCGGGGTCTGAGGGGGGCGGGGCCAAGTGGAGGGGTGACGGTGCTTTGCCCTACCTCCACTCTTCTGGTTCTTAGGCAAGGAAACTGGGCTCCAGTGTGGTGGCCCCCACCCCCCACCCCCGCCTAGTTCTGGAATGCTTGGCTGGCTGCACATGCACCCCTCCCCCTCCCTACGGTTAACACTGTCACTTGCTGCGAGGATGACCCCCTCCACCCACCAAAATCCACCTTCTGGAAATCTCAGCTCAGGCCGCCCTGCTGGAGAGCCCCAAGGGAGGGATCCCTTTCTGTAAAATGCTAAGACATGGAGGTGTGGCTCCTGGGGACCCCAGATCCGGCCCCCGCAGGTCCACTACCAGCAGTGACTCCTGGGATGGCCGAGCTGGGCGCGGCTCGGTGCACCTTTGGCAGGGCACACACTGGGCACCAGAAAGGAGCTTCTGGGCAGAAGCAAGGGGGGGCGGGCCCAGAACACTGCCCTCTGGCTAGTCTCTCCCGTGGCGCTAGCGCGCAGGGAGGTGCGGACAGTGCAGAGCGCAGGTCACCAAGCTCACAGGCATCGCGGGCGGCTCACCGGCCCAGTGACAGATGTGCAAAACGACAAGCAGGGCCGAGGGGACACTGCGCGATGGGTCTACATCCGGGCAGCGATCAGGGACCCCACCCAGAAAACCAGGAAAGCCCGTCGCGTGGGGTGTCTGCCTGCCTCCAGTCACTGGGAGAGCTGCGGGTGGGCTCCGTCGGGACCTGGATGCGATGTGGGCGGGGGAAGTGGACCTAGGGTCATGCTGCACAGAATGCCTGGGGGGAGGTGGGCCGGCGGCGTGCCCTGCGGGGCCCGGGGCTCTGCTGAACTGCTTTGGCTGGCAGCCTCGCGCAAGACTCAGAAGTGGGTCTCTTGGGTGCATGCTCTCTCTGCCACTTGGGGACAGACCTGAGAATATTCGAAAAAGTCCCCACCACACCCCACCCGGTCACTCGTCCCACCAGGTGAAAAAAAATTTAAAAACACAAACACCATGATGCCCGCGGCCTCCTGGAGCTGGGGCTGGGTGCCCCCCCACCCCTGCAAACTCTCGACTCCGGACCTCTCCCCATCATGCTCCCTGGACCCGGCTGCCCCTCAACTTGAGGCGCTCCAAACCGGCCTCGTTTTGGCACCGGAAATACAATTCAGAGAAGCCTCGGGGCCTCAGCGGGAGGGGGCCTCAGTGGCATCTCCACAGGGGACACAGGGGAGGGAAGGGGTGTCTCTTGGACCCACAAAGCCAGGTCTCCTTGTTTTGCCTCAAAAAAAAAAGGTCAGGCACTTCCCAGGGTGGACAGCTGGGGGCGCTGCCCACCCCCTCTTCTTGGAGTCCAGGGAGCAGAGCAGCGGCCCCTGAAGATGCATAGGACGCAATAACTTAACAAAACCAGAAAATCACAGTCGGCCCGG